CTTAACTTCTTGGTTGCTGAAAAGGCTAATATATATATGCTGAAGATGCTGGGGGAACCTTAGGGAAAATGCGGGAAAATTTCATTCTTACATCTCCTTATATAGGCACGGCCGAATGAATGGGGTGATGAAGACATGATGTGGCCATCTTCTCCTCCTAACACTTGCTAGCACCTCATGAGTTATTTGATGTCTAAGCTTCTCCTATGGTTGACAAGTGATTAGTTTTGATTGGTTGAAAACCTTTCCTATGGCCTAAGAAAGGTCACGGCGCTTGCACAAATTTTTGGGAAAATGGCTCTTAAGGTACGGTTTTTAGGATCTAATGTAGTGATTAATTATAATTAATCACTCAATTTATGCTTAATTATTTTATTAACATAATGCTTAATTACCAAAATTATTTCGAACGTAAACGATACGTCGAAAATAAATTCCGGTAATCTCGACTGAACATAATTAATTCCGAAAATAATAAACGATAACATTATTATATCGGAATTAAAACGTAATTTATACTGATAAAATATCGGGATATTACAAACACAGTGACAAGTCACTGTGGTCCTGGACTATGAGGAGGAGGAGGATGGGGCTGGCCGGCGCCGGGACCATACTGAGCATCCCACCGGGCCTCAAGAGCCTGAAAGCACGCGTCGAAACCTCGCATGTCTCTGTCGTAACGCTCCTCGAACTCTGCCCACCACGGAGGAGGCTGGGACCACCAAAGTTGCACGCGGCCCGAAAATGCCGCCGTGGACGCGCGGTGGTCGAAAATTCGACCTAGGGATTCCAGTCGCGAGATCGCGCGTGCACAGGAGAGAGAGAACGACCGAGTGAAGGGGTTACCGGAAAGCTTTGATGCCCGAAACAAGCGGTGGACGGTCGGAGTTGTCAAAGTATTGCAAGCGGTCGAAGGGAAGAGATTTGAGTGTTCTGCTCGTGTATTGCAAGGGAGGAATAAGTAGAACCCGCAGAAATAAACGCGATTAATGTTGTAAAGTAGCAGGTCGCGACACACATTTTTTTTTCTTTTTTTTTTTAAAGCAGGAAACTCGCGAAATTCCGTCGCGAGTCGCGACATATTGTCGCGAGACAGGTCGCGAGTCGCCAAAATGTCGCGAGTCGCGACTCGAACAGAGGCCGATGGCATAAAAACGAGAGGAAACTCGCGACTCGCGAGAAGCTCGCGAGTCGCGACATTGCAAGTCGCGAGTCGCGACATTTGCTCGCGAGTCGTGAGACAAACAGAGTGGTCGGCCTTATCAGTCGCGACTCGCGAGATACATCGCGAGTCGCGAGAATTTTTTTTTTTAAAGATAACTGGAATAAAAAGAAAAGCAAAATAAAAATACCAAATTACCTGAATAATTACCGAAAATAAAAGCAAGAAATAGAGCAAAAGGCAAAAGGAAAAAGGGAGAGATACAATCGTACAGAGCACAGTGACTAGACTAGTCACTGTGAGTTTGGTGGTGCACGCGGAGGGTCGAGATAGTCAGGCCCCGAACAGCAACGGGCATCTGACACATCATATCTTTCGGCCCAGAGGGACCGGGGCAGCTCCATCGAACTAGGCTGAGAGGGGGCAATGTAGCGGTTAGGATGGAAATCGCCCAACAATGGTCTCTTCGGCTCAAGCTGGGACCCTCGGACACAAATGAAGGTAGATTCCCCCAATACGATCATCCTCGCTGTCCCGTTTTTCACATCAATTATTGTGTTGGTTGTCGCCATGAAAGGCCGTCCGAGAAGCATGGTGTGCTGATACCCATTCTCTCTAACTTCTCCCACAACGAGAACAACAAAATCAACGGGCACAATCAGCTTCCCCACTCTTACCAAGACATTTTCCACTATCCCCTCGGGTTGACGGAGTGAACGATCGGCAAGATGTAACCGCATCCTAGTGGGCTTCAGACCACCGAGCCCAAGTTCCCGATATATAGAGAGAGGCATGAGATTTATTCCGGCCCCAAGGTCAAGCATCCCTGAAGCATCTTTCCCACTCCCAAAGGCTAAATTGATCACAAAGCTACCGGGGTCGCTTTCTTTCTTCGGTAATTTGTACTGGAGGGCACTCGCCGCCTCGCATACCACCACTTCATCGGCACTCTCCAATCGATTCTTACTCTTTGCCAAATCTTTGAAATGTCTCGCGTAAGCCGGTATCATCTTCAGCACATCAGAAGGTGGTAGATTGCCATATACCTTTTTCAACATCTCGTAAAGGTCCCGAATCAGCTGATTGTCCTTCTCTTCCAAGAGTCGGCATGGGTAACGAAACCTTGACCTGTATGGATTTTGAGACTTATGCAAAGTTGGCTCGGAAGGCGGTGTCACTGGGGCCTTTTCTGTTTGCTCTAACTCCCTCGGATCTTCTTCTAATTCTTGTACTCCCTCGTCTACTATCTTCTTCTCCAAGTCCGGCATAATGACAGTCACTGAGTTCACATGCTCTGGTTGACTAGGCAACTTACTCTTGTTCATTTCAGTCTCGAGAACTCCGACCCGTGTGGCCAGTTGGCCTAACTGCGTCTCAATACGCTTGATGGAGGCCTCCTGATTGACACTTCTTTGCTCACTGCTGGCCACAAATTGAAGGATTTTGGCAATGTCGTCTTGAAGGTTCGAGCTCGACCCCGCTTTCGGTGCGTGCATCCCAGCATCTGACCCCCTCTGTTGCTGTTGTGGCTGGTAGTTCGGACGGGGCAGAAAGTTGGGTCGAGGTTGCTGCTGCATGAAGTTCGGACGTGGTGTCTGAAGGGTGTTTGAGTTGTTCGACCACGAGAAGTGTGGGTGGTTCCGCCACCCTGGATTGTACATATTGGAGTATGGATCATTGGCTGGCCGGTTCTGATATCCTTGTAAGGCGCTGGCATCCGCATACTGCTCCCCAGAATCCTGCTCGAATGATGAGGGGCATACTTTGGACCTATGTCCTGGGACTCCACACGCCCCGCATGTATCAACAGCGAAAGTATTAACCGGCTGGGATCCTCGTGCGGTAAGCAACCTCATCTGCTCAGTAAGCTCAGCTAGCTGTTGGGCCACCAAATCATTGCCTGTTCCGACCTCATTCACCATTGCTCTCCTCCCTCGAGTGCTCTTCTGCGACGAGTTAGTGCTCATCGTCTCAAATATTTCAAACATCTCCTCGGCTGTTTTTGCTCCGATATCACCTCCTGCCGCGTTGTCGACCATATACTGCAAGTTCTGGTGGAGGGAATCATAGAAGCAGATCATGAGTAGCCCCGGAGAGAGGTTGTGATGGGGGCATTGCCGTTGGAGATCCTTGAACCGCTCCCAAGCCTCATGAAGAGACTCATTCGGTAGTTGAGCAAATGAGACGATCTGTGACCGAAGCTCCTGGGTCTTTTGATGGGAGTAGAACCTCCCAATGAATTTCGAGTACACCTCAATCCAAGTGGTAAGAGAACCAGGTGCAAGCGTCATGAACCAGGCCTTGGCCCGATCCTTCAGTGTCTCAGGAAAACACCG